CGCCTTTGCTAATGTTTTTTTATCCTCAAAATCAAGCTTATTATTGCGAAGGTATAGTGAAGTCAATAAATTGTTTGAACCAATAGCCTTTAATAATGCTTCTTTTCCTTGAATATGAAATCTATTAGATGACAAATTCAAAACAAAAAGCTCTTGCTAATTATTTTTAGACCATTGTGATTTCCTGAAAGGTCTAACGATGTGATTGTCTTGTTATTAGTCTACAGATTAATGAAATTCGAAAATAGTCTTAAATATTTAAATTAACGAGGGATATTAATGAAATATTTTCGTCCAAAGAAAACACAGTATTAAATAACGATAATATATACGTAGGCATTTTAAAAATTTTTGTGTTGCCTAAAATTTTCCGGCATTTGCCCGTTAGAAAAGGTATCATAAAACACCACAACAAATAGCCTTGAAACGTACGCACGTACGTACGTACAGTACGTGTGCTCGGTACAAATACAGGGGAGTACAAATCAAGGGGATACCGATCAAGGATCTTGCACGATAAATTTTAAACAATTATGTATTTTGATTGGTTAATTGTCACGGGAAATCACGGTAGATCTACTTTCTTTGACTACTAAAATTTTCGACATACAAAAATAATTTCGACATTTTTGCCATTTAAATTTACGCCAAGAGCAAAATATTTTCGACACCAATGTATACCTACTGGTTTATTTCAGGTATATCTGTTAATTGAGAAAAAAGACAGCATGTAGCTCATGTCGCTGACGTACAAGGTATATCACATGTATATGGACAAGGCATGTCCAAGAGAAGGCATGCCCAAAGACGGAACCCGTCTACGACAAGACATGTGATCTTTGTACGAGGCACGTCTAAAACGAAACATGTCTAATATGTACAATTTCGATTCAGTTCCTGCTGAAGGAAACAAATCGATTGTATTTCAGAATTTGAAAGCAAAGCTATCAGGCTCACAAGCTGATTTAGCCGAAGTATGTCAATTTCTAATTCCGGAATTTAAAGTGAGTTCACAATGTATCTCAATAATTTGCTACTGCACAAATATTGTATTTTTACTTATCTTTTTTTGTTGATAGATAGGCACTCTCGATGCACTTGTCGTTATTTCTGATGAGCTTGTAAAATATGATCAGTTTGTTGAGAACGTAGCTTGGAAAATAGTAGATGTTCTTCGCATTCTATTGAAGGGTGACATAGATAAAATATGTGCCAATCTATTGGTGAACGATAGTAAGTTAATTATATAATCAGTTTGGTTTTAATGATCCGTTAGTTTTAACACTTTTAATTTTAACTTAGAAAGTATTGATCAGTATTTGAAAACATTTCAATGGGATATAATGAAATTTAGGGCCGAAAAATCTCTTCAAGAAATAGCAGAAATACTTAATGAGGTTTAGAATAATTTACATTTCGTACATTCTAAATTCAGGAAAAAAAAAAAAAAAAACTAAACATATAGTTCTCTCTGTGTGTCATACTAGGAAGTATCATCAATTGATACGCTGATGAAAGCAAAGTTAGCACATTATAATCAAGTGAAAGGCAACCTTCAAGCTTTGGAGAAAAAACAAACGTGATAATTTTTTTTATATTGTATTATAATAAAAATAATCTTTAAATTAAGTTTTTGTTAATTTAAATTTTTGATATACACATATGTTAGTGGGAACCTGTCCGTTCGTAACTTGGCAGATGTTGTTAAAAAAGAACATTTTGTTTTGGATTCAGAGTATCTGGAAACTTTACTTGTTGCAGTTCCAAGGCATGTCACATCAATG